GGCTAGTGACTACTGGCCCAGTGATGTACATTATATGGCTAGTGACTACTGGCCCAGTGATGTACATTATATGGCAAGTGACTACTGGCCCAGTGATGTACATTATATGGCTAGTGACTACTGGCCCAGTGATTTACATTATATGGCTAGTGACTACTGGTCCAGTGATGTACGTTATATGAATATGTCTAGTGACAACAATATGTAAGCTGCAATCACAGAAATTACTCTACAATTTATCTTAAGCGAATTTTTTAACAAAATTTCTTCTTATGATAACATCATTCCAGAACGTTGTCACTTCACAGTTGTCAATATGTTGAATGACATTTCACTATTGTATATGTTTAATGACATTTCACAGTTTTATATGTTGTATGACATCTCACAGTTGTATATGTTGAATAACATTTCACTATTGTATATTTTGAATGACATCTCACAGTTGTATATGTTGAATGACATTTCATATTGTATATGTTGAATGACATTTTACTATTGTATATGTTGAATGACATCCCACAGTTATATATGTTGAATGACACCTCACAGTTGTATATGGTGAATGACCTCTCACAGTTGTATATGTTGAATGACATCTCACAGTTGTATATGTTGAATGACATCTCACAGTTTTATATGTTGAATGACATCTCACAGTTGTATATGTTGAATGACACCTCACAGTTGTATATGTTGAATGACATCTCACAGTTGTACATGTTGAATGACACCTCACAGTTGTATATGTTGAATGACCTATCACATTTGTATATGTTGAATGACATCTCACAGTTGTATATGTTGAATGACATCTCACAGTTTTATATGTTGAATGATATTTCACAGTTGTATATGTTGAATGACACCTCACAGTTTATATGTTGAATGACATCTCACAGTTGTACATGTTGAATGACATCTCACAGTTTTATATGTTGAATGACATCTCACAGTTGTATATGTTGAATGACATCTCACAGTTCTATATGTTGAATAACACCTCACAGTTGTATATGTTGAATGACCTCTCACAGTTGTATATGTTGAATGACATCTCACAGTTGTATATGTTGAATGACATCTCACATTTTTATATGTTGAATGATATCTCACAGTTGTATATGTTGAATGACACCTCACAATTGTATATGTTGAATGACATCTCACAGTTGTATATGTTGAATGCCATCTCACAGTTGTATATGTTGAATGACATCTCACAGTTGTATATGTTGAATGACATCTCACAGTTGTATATGTTGAATGACATCTCACAGTTGTATATGTTGAATGACATCTCACAGTTGTATATGTTGAATGACACCTCACAGTTTTATATGTTGAATGACATCTCACAGTTGTATATGTTGAATGACATCTCACTGTTGTATATGTTGAATGACACCTCACAGTTGTATATGTTGAATGACCTCTCACAGTTGTACATGTTGAATGACACCTCACAGTTGTATATGTTGAATGACATCTCACAGTTGTATATGTTGAATGACATCTCACAGTTTTATATGTTGAATGATATCTCACAGTTGTATATGTTGAATGACACCTCACAGTTTTATATGTTGAATGACATCTCACAGTTGTACATGTTGAATGACATCTCACAGTTTTATATGTTGAATGACATCTCACAGTTGTATATGTTGAATGACACCTCACAGTTGTATATGTTGAATGACATCTCACAGTTGTACATGTTGAATGACATCTCACAGTTTTATATGTTGAATGACATCTCACAGTTGTATATGTTGAATGACACCTCACAGTTGTATATGTTGAATGACATCTCACAGTTGTACATGTTGAATGACACCTCACAGTTGTATATGTTGAATGACCTCTCACAGTTGTATATGTTGAATGACATCTCACAGTTGTATATGTTGAATGACATCTCACAGTTTTATATGTTGAATGACACCTCACAGTTGTATATGTTGAATGACATCTCACAGTTGTCTATGTTGAATGACATCTCACAGTTGTATATGTTGAATGACATCTCACAGTTGTATATGTTGAATGACATCTCACAGTTGTATATGTTGAATGATATTCTATAAATGTCTGAGCAACTCTTTGAAACGCGATTAAGTGATGCAAACTTTATAATCATACTGAAGCATAACTGTTGTCGTTGTTGTTGCTGCTGCTGGCGTTGTTGTGGTTGTTGTTTTGACTTTTGTTTTATTTATTTCTTGTATGGTTTCTGGTTTGTGTGCGTGTGGGGGAGGGGGTTGGAGGAGGGAATGCTATAATTTCTTTGGATGTTTTGTTTCGGGTTTTTCGCTGTAGAACTACGTGTAGAAACTTAGCGTGCTGTAGTTGGTGGCGGTCAGGTCATTGTTATTGTTGATGGTGGTGATGATGTTGGGGGTGACGGCGTTGGTACTTTTATGGTGTTGAGGTGGTTCATTGATCGTTTTATTGATGTTAGTGTAGGTTTTATTGATGGTAGTGTAGTTTTTATTGATGGTAGTGTAGTTTTTATTGATGGTTGTGTAGTTTTTATTGATGGTAGAGTATGTTTTATTAATCATAGTGTCTGTTTTATTGATGGTAGGATAGATTTTATTTGTAGTAGTGTATGTTTTATTGATGGTATATGGTGTTGGTTTTATTGATGGTAGTGTAGTTTTTATTGATGGCAGAGTATGTTTTATTAATCATAGTGTCTGTTTTATTGATGGTAGTGTAGGTTTTATGGTGGTTGTGTATGTTTTATTGGTGGTAGTGTATGTTTTCCCCCTTGAACCCTTTTGCTAGTCAGATGAAGGCATTTTTAGCATAAAGATTTGAATAAATATAATAAAACATAACGTAAATCCAAGCTCATGGACCCTCTAACCTTCGTTAAGGACCCTTGCTCTACCGATATTATTGACAGGTGCACACGGCTACGTATTTTTTAATCCCTCCCAACTACCTGTGACCTAGTTTTTCCTTGCCCTACTTCTCTGCTCACCCTTAATGCAACCAGCTCGCCACTAAATGCAGAAGGCGCCCCTAAGTTCAGCGCCCCCTGAGTCAAATCGCAAATTGTTTTGTTTTTCCAATCTTCCAAAATGTCGGATATGATTTTATGCTAGCGCAGCCGAACAGGATGACTCACTCGAGCAGAGTCCGTGCCAAAAAAATGCTTTTGTGTAAACAAGGGCTTGGAGGTAAAGGCCAGATGATGCAGTCTGGCGGTTACCAGTTGCTCCTTTTGGTGGACTAATGGTGCCATAGTTTCTTGTGATGTTTCCAGGACGGGTCCGTTTGCTTTCATGAATGGTTGGATTTTTCAACGATTATCTTTTGTATATAAAGCTCAAAAGAAAATGAATGTATCCCTAGTTAATGATGAGCTAAGGTCATCAAAGACATTCCTAAACGATTGGGCGTCAAGAGGTTTAGTAACAGTGCAAGCCTGTGATTTTAAACTTGTATGATGTGTCAGCTCAGCAGGTAAATGTCAGGTGGTTGGTTGGGACAGAGCCTTCTGTCGATTGGGTTGTTACAGAGCCTTCTTTCATGTGGTTGGGACAGAGCCTTCTGTCATGGGGTTCAGACATATCCTTCTGTCAGGTGCAGGGCCGGCCCTATGGTTGCTGGCGCCCCGGGCAAGCTTAACATAAAAATTTTGGCAAGGAAGAAAACAAGGAGTTAGGTAATGAGTATATTACCTAAGCTGTTTTTTTTTAAACAAACAATGAACAATAATAATTTTTTTTTGTTTTCTTAACTTTTATTGGGACATTATGAACAGTTAGCCTACCGATAACAATTTTTTTCTAGCCTTTATATCAGCAACTCTTTTTATTGCACTTTCTATTTCTATTCCATGGCACCCACATGCAATGCTTTTTCCTTTTTTTTTTTTTTTTTTTTTTTGGAAGACCGTTGATGGCGCCCTAAGCAAATGGCGCCCCTGGCACCAACCCGTACAGTATCACATAATTGTATTGTTTATTTTTCCGTAAGGCAGTTTCATAACCCTTGCCCATGGATTAATAATCATTCCCCCACCCCCCACCATTATCCCACTGTAGTCACCCTCCCCCCCCCTCCCCAAGCTTAAACTGACAGGTTGATCATATTTTTTTCCATTCAATACAACCGAAACCAATTCGTTCAATCATTCATTTGTGTTTCTTATTTCTTTTCTTGCAGGTGGACAAGCGTACGCTCACTGGGCAGAATCTAAGCCAACTGCGACGGGCCTGCTTTGATTAGCCACATGTGCCGTGCGGAGAAAAGTTCTCGGGGCTAAGACAGGTCGTTCCTTTGAGCTTCCCGTGATTTAGATTAGAAAGTTTTCTGCTGGGGATTGTGTTATCTAGTCTGCGTCTAACGTTGATGTGCACGCCGTGTGTAGACGAGGACTAAACCACGGCCATGTGTTGTCCTGAACAACGCTTGTGTTAGAGACTACAGTGAACTTGTTCATTCAGGTGTTGTTGTTGTTGTTTTTTCCATTTCGTGAGATGCTGTACACGCTGGCTGGTTGCTACACTAACGATTCGTGGGATTCTCCACGAGGCTAACAACTAAACCTCTTGTTTTCGTCGTGCTGGCCGATACACTGAAGAATAGTGTAATTCTCAGTGAGGATAACTGAACCGCTTGTTTTCGGCCATATGCGTGGTGCTGTCTGCTACAACTGCTAAAGACTATTGTGATTCTCAGCGAGGACAACAGCTGAACAGCTTGACGTGGCTTTGGCTCGTACAGCGCTTTCAGTCAGCCAGGAAATTCAAGTCTATATATTTGAGGATTAAAATTTTCTTTCGTGACTTTTCACACGTGATTCATCTCGTCAGTTTATTTGTTCTGGATTTTACACCTTATGCTTTGTTTAAATCGTTTTGAATTCGTGTGCTGTTCTATACAAGTGCTGGTCATTATTTATTAATTATAGAATTCTTTGAACCTAACAACGACTGACACAAAAAAAAATCAACTTTTAGCACTGCGCATAGCACGCCGCCATGATGGCGTCACAAACAGCCAAAACTCACGATCCTATGTATAACTTTGACACACATTTCCCGGAGCGTTTGTCCAGGCTTCATCTCCACGGGGACTTCAACGCGTCGGGGTCGTTTCGAAAGAAAAAGAACCGCGCGCAGCGCAGCGGCGCCCGCTATAAAACCCAGCCTGTCACCTTTGACGAGATCAAAGAAGTCGACGAGGAGCCCATCCCGCCCGCCGCCGCTGAGCAAAGTGGGGCGACACCAGAGCAGCTCAAGGGGCAGCTGCAGGCCTTCTCCCGCTCCATGGACGGACTTCTTCCCAAAGGAGTCTTGGCAGAGCAGCAGCCGACTCCACCCCTGCATCATTTCTCTCACTCCAGATCGGGCTCGAGAAAGTTCCAGAGGCACCCAGACTGTATTCCCGAGCGGGCAGAGGAGCCCACCACTCCCCAACCTCAGCAAGACCCTAATCAGAACAGGCTGACGGACCACACTCCGTCCAGCCCAGCGGTCAGTGTGGAGGCCGCGGCATCGTTGAGTCCACCGGGGGAGTCTGGCGGAGATGCACGCATATCGCCCCTGCCCTCCCCGAATATGGCCCCTAGACGCCAGAAGGTCACGGCCAAAGCTAAAAAACGCCAAAAAGCTTTCGAAGACACTGACATCTGACCTCTGACATCTGACATCTAACGCACGCGTTCGACAACAGGGTCAACCTTTGTATACCCGGGGGGAAAAAATAACAGAGAGAACAAAAGGAATAAATAACACTGTGGATACTATTTTTTGCACAAAGCTTTCTTGTTAAATAAAGTTTGTATTTTTTTTTACCATGTGTTTCATATTGACATTGTTCAATGCATTAGAGATAACGTTGTGATGTGATCGAAGGATGTTAGCCATTCTCGAAATAGCTGATTCAAAACTGCTGCCAATTCAACGCTTCGTTTTGTAAATTTTTGTAGTTTTATTTTACGTTTGTTTTCTTCCCCATTCAGGTCATTGTTGTTGTTTGTTTTTTTCTTTACTTGGAAGATGTGATAACAAGTTGACTTCAAAATGTGCATTATATTATTTGCAAATCTTTTGCGTTTTACATTTTTTGACAAACTTCACGATGAAAATGCTCATTGGTTTTCGGACCCATTATTGTGATAATACTTCAAGAGACGGCGTCCAGACTTTTTTGGGTTGGTCATTAAAATTATAAGAACTTATCATGTTGTAGTTTTCAAAACTTTTGCAAATCAGCTACAAATGAACACATATAGAAATAGCATATTTCATATAAGAAGTGTTATTTACATAACATGACGCATGTCACCACTTCGCCCCCTCCTCAGTGTTTATTTGCCACCTTTTCCCCACCCATGTATTTCGTATTGTACTTGAATAATATGTTTCAACCAGTTGTTCCACTCTCCCTGGACCCTTACATTAGTTAGACAAACATGTTTTTACAGATATTTGAATTCTTTGAAGTCTCGGCGCTAGCGGTAGCCAGCGTATCCCTACACCACACATCTGTGAGACATCACCAGTGCCCTGACGGCACGCAGGTGAGAGGCATCACCAGTGCCCTGGAGGCATATATCTGAGAGGCATCACCAGTGCCATGACAGAAAATATCCGAGAGGAATCACGAGTGCCCTGACAGCACACATCTGAGAGGCATCGCGAGTGCCCTGGTGATGTCGCCACATGCCTTATATGGGTTATGAGATTTTATTTATTATCTATGGAGATTCTTTTACCCTCCAAGACTTGGGCAGCTGGTGAAATAGAATTCATACATTTTACCTTGAGGCTTTCAGGCTTCGTGATTCTGAACATGGCGGCGGTGACTGAATTTTAAAAATCTATTTTTACATGTTTATACAGTTAAATAAGTTGTGAATATTGTGAGAAAATTATTGAAAGATGATTGGGGTTTTTGTTTGTGTGTGTTAATAGTTAGTGATCTATGTCAAAATGATGGAATACTCAAAGTGCCAGATTAAATATCGCTGTATTCAAAGTTGTAAAATTTGTTCCTACGCAGTATAAGGTGGTAGGTGTTCCTGAGGGGTTCAATTTAGAAGAAATGACTACACACACCCCCATCCCATCCCACCTTCCCACCCCCATCACACCCCACCAACCCACCCCTCCATACTTTTCGTTGTTTTTCCTTTTCTTTTTTTTTTCTTCTAGATTCCTAATTAAGTGCATCTTGAAATAACTTACATTTTGTTCACCTTAAAAGCAAAGACGCAATTTTCCGAGTTCCAGTGGAAAAATATTGTACAGAGAACTAGAGACCGAAAGTGATTTTCTGATTTCGACCAAAACCGAAACCAGGCCGAAAGTTAAAAATGACTTTTGGTTGAAACCAAAAGCTTGATGAGACTTTCGGCCGAAACCGAAGCCGAAACAAAATGCTGAACGAGACTTTCGGCTGAAACCGAAATATATATAGATATATTGTGCCTACATCGAAAAAAAAATGGGAGGAAAGTATAAATATTTACATTCTTTTTATTATAAATGCGATCATAGTGAATATTAATAAATAAACATCGAATGAATACTTTGGCTTTTACCATTTTAATTAAAAAGTAATTTAAATTTCTTTAAAATGTTGGGTTTTTTTTAAAAGTAGTATGGTAAGAGAAAATGTGGACGGTTGGGGGGGGGGGAATTCATGCAAAATAGAACCTTGAGTGCCATTTGCTTTTATAATATAATTGCAACCTAGAACATATACCTACAATAATTATTGTGGCTCTAAGAGAGCCCATTGTCACCAAATATAAGTTATTAAGGCTATAAAAATATCACCACAATGTTTCGCGGTTATCGTCATACTAATGCTTTGTGTTTTCATAAATAGCTGGCAAGATATCGCTGTATGAATATTTAGCCTAGTACCAACATAGTATTCTTTCCGTGCTTGTGACGTAATTATTTAGTTCGTCGACCAACCTCCCTCACCCCCATTTGTGGCTGAAAATTATTTATTTTTAGCCAGGTCTCTTAAAATTGTTGTTCTGACGGGTCTCGACGGAAAATCGCAAAAGACATCTAAATTGGTCGCCAAAATCGTAAAAGTAACAGTTCTGCACAGGCCTACTACATACTTTGTATACGAACCAGTGATACTAGTGATACAGGCATGCGTATGCTATTTCGTCCATAACAATGTTTTAGAGCATGATAATGATGAATTCTAAGAAATGAATCAAAAAAGGCCTAAGTTTCCCCTTTTTTTTTAATGAAAAAAAAAAATGTGGGAAATATTACCATTCTCTCTCTATGATTTTTCAATATTATTCACTTTTGCCTATGACAATTTTGATGAGCATGATAATGATAAATCAAAATGAATATCACAAATGAATGAATTTAATAAACATAGGGTTCAAAATTTTATTTTTGAAAAAATGTAAACAAAAATAATGATATAAATATTACCATTTTATTTTTTCCTCACAAAACTGTTGAAATTTGTCTAGGCTTAATTAATATTGATTTTTTTTTGGAAATAAAGGACAAGATGGTCATCATGTTTTGCGGAGTATTGGTCATGTAACACACGATGACAGCGAGACGTCGAGCGATAATTAATATCGGATTGCCGGCCTAGAGACAGACAGTCTGACTTCTGGTAAATGACCGTAAACCTCAGTCACTTTCGGCCAAAACCGAAATTAAACCGAAAGTTAACGTTTCTGTTTCGGCCGAAACCAAAATTAAACCGAAATTTAACTTTACTGTTTCGGCAGAAACCGAAACTAGGGCCGAAAGTGAAAAAATGGCAACTTTCGGCGCCAAAACCGAAGCCGAAATTCGGTCGGTCCCTACAGAGAACTGCGTAGCCTACACACCGCTCTCCTCATTGCCTCTTGTACCAGAAAACCGAGTCTCCTGCTCTCTTCACAATCTCTTATAGTATATTACATCAAATCTAATCATTGTAATTTAAGTGAAAACAGTTCCGATTTGACAAATAGTTTCCCCTAGCACAAGGGTCGGCAACCTTTTGAGACGGAAGAGCCGAAAGTTACAATTTACAAAATTTCCCAGTTTTTAAAGAGCCACTAACATTTGTATTTCAATATAATTATTAATTTTTGCGCATGGAACTGGAGGGCCGCATCTTGACATCAAATGGGCCGCATGTGGCTCGCAAGCCGCAGGTTGCCGACCCCTGGTCTAGCACGTCGAAATATGTACAGAATTGCTTTTTCCAAATAAAAATCGGCCACCCTTTTTGGAAGCTGGTTCGATTCCCGATGGAAGCATCAGGCATCTTCCTTTTTTTTTTTTTTTTTTTTTTTTTTTTAACTTTTTTTTTGTTTTTTTTTTTTTTTTTTTTTTTTTTTTTTTTAAACAGTTTTATGCATTTTATTATTAAATGTTATCACAAAGAACTGAAGTCAAACTTTCAATTCAATTTGTAAAATGTCTAGATATTTGATGAAAGTCCAGGCATTGGATGATCACTTCACTCCCACCCTGTCCTAATGCAAGATATCAAATGTACATAAAGTAGAGTATTGATTAGGTCCCTTTAAACTTCTCCAATTAAATGGATTTTCTTTTTTGTCTTAAGAATTCCCCAACACTCATAGAAAACAATAAATTTCAATAAATACAAATAATGAATTATAAAATGGATAATTCTGTTACTAGAAATGTTAAATGATAATATTGATAATTGTGTTATCCCTATAAAGTGTTAACCAGACCAGGGCCATCTTTACATCAGCTGAGGCCCTGGGCACAGTAATGCACTGAGGCCCCTAACCCTACTCAGGGAAGTATGAAGGAGGGGCTAGAGGCCCCTAACCCTACTCAGGGACGTATGAAGAAGGGGCTAGAGGGTCAATCACCCCTGGCACCAATATTAGAAGGCGGCAAAAATCGTCTTAAAATAGGCCCTTAATTGTGAATTAAATGATAAAATCCCTGTGTGTCCCCCTAGAAGCGTGATGCCCCCTAGAAGCGTGAGCACCCCATGTCCTCACCCATAAATTTAGAGCACCCCATGTCCTCACCCCATGTCCTCACCCATAAATTTAGAGCATACCCGTGTCTTCGCACAGGAGCCAGAATGATCAACAAATTGATCGTGGGCCCCTCAAATATAAGAAGAAGAAGAAGTAAGTTTGTTGCCTCTCAGTCTCTGTGTTTTAAAAATGTACAAGAAAAGTTGAACGCCCCTGGAGTAGAGTTAGATCGATGCAGAGGCGTGGGGAAAGGGGAAGATGTCCCCGGGTGCCAGTTAATGTGCTTTTATATTATGTTGTTGATGAAAATAATGGGTTTGAGAGTCGAAAAAAGAAAAGGGAGTGCTTTAAAATAAACCTTGCTCCCGGGCGCCAAACACGCTCGCAAAGCCTCTGGATCGATGTCGACTGTTAAATACTTACCCAGTGTACTACCATCTAATGCAAGGATACGTTCAGGTGATAATAAGGACCCCTCTACTGTGGTCATTTGATTAGCAAACAAATTTCATCTCTGTTGATTTGTAGAAAAGGGTTGCCCCTTAAGATAATCCAATTTGTCCACAGTCCACACTATAATCAGATTAAGTCTTAATACATCTATAAGACCTTATCAATGGTATAATAATTTGATCAATCTTTTTTTTTTTTTTTGGTCTTAAATAATACCATATTTTATTTTGTCCTACTCTGTATTTTATACTTCAAGGGTGTTGTCCACAGGCCGTCTTGAAAGCATCGGCACCCACAAGGCAAAGAATAACACGAGGTCCCTTCAGACCCAACCCTTTGTTGCTGTTATCTCCGGGCCTTCTTAACAATAATGTTTCCCCTAGGTTAAGCAATGAATGGGGACCCATACTGCTCGATCCAATCTGTCAGAAGGCAAAATAGCAGTATACGGTCCTTGGGCAACTTAACTGTAATGCTGAATAGGACTCTGGGTTACCACCAATGTTCCCTTTAAGCTGCGCGTCATCGCGGCCGCGCAGCTATCTCATAGACGCCGCGCAGCAGTTTTGAGTATCCGCGCAGCAAATTTCCATGTCCATGTAAGTGTGTGTTTGTGAGCGGTAAAACTTTGCACACAAAAAAATCGATGCTGCAAAACTTTGCACACAACTGCATGATTTTGCACGCGAACCAACAAACCTTAGAGGGAACATTGGTTACCACTCCAAAGAGAAGAGATTCTAATTATTGTTTCTTCCGTCCATTTAACATTTATTAACAATGTATCCACATGTCGGATTATGTCAAACTTGATATACTATTATGTGTTCGAAATATACTACAACCCTCCCAAGACTAGACAGGGACTGTTTTAGATCGCCCTAGAGTTAAGTTAGTGCTAGGGTTAGAGCTAGTGTTGAGCTAGGATTTGTGCTTGAGTGGTGCTAGGGTGGTGCTGGGCTGCTGGGGTTAGAGCTAGGGTTGTTCTACTGTAGTGCTAGGATTTGTGCTCGGGTTGTGTTAGGGTTGTGATAGTGGTGGGCTGTGCTAGAGTTAGGGAAAAGAATTGCGATTTTTTTTTTTTTTAAGTATTCTAAAATTTCACAAGTGAAGTAATGACTTTATTCTTTCATTCGTGGCTTTATAATTGAATTTTGACGTGACAGAACTGTATGTCAAAAGAATTGACAAGAGTTTCCCAAACTTTTCCAAGTCTCACGCCCCCTAAATCCATTTCAAAAATGTAAGAAAACAATAGAGTTTTAATTTATGATCGAATTACAAATAAAAAAATAGAGCCCAGAAAATAAACGTGTGAATTATCACATAAACTAAAATATTAATGACGAAATATTTATATTATTACTTGGAAGTGAATAGCTTCTCTCTTCTTATATATGATAGCTTTTCATTAAATAAATAACAAATATGAACTAGTCTATCTTTAAAGTTTCATAATTATATCGTTGTTATATTGCTAATTTTGAGGCCCTGATTATTGTAAGATTTCAAAAGTGTTCAACTTAATTCATGAATATTTAATAGTATACACATTAAATGTAAATTAAAAATTTGGTTTATATTTATTTCTCGAATTAACCCTGAGTGTATGTAAGAGGTCGCATGTTATTCATTGAATTTTCAAATAAAGGTTTTAAGTAATGATGTTAAAAAAAAACATTATTTTATATTCTGTACATGGTGAGATCAGAAACCATTTGATATTAAATAACAGTGTACGTTCATGTACAATAAAGAAGATCAGAATAAACCATTTTGTAAAAATATTCAACAATTTTTGTTTATTTAGATTCTTTTTAAAGTTAATTAAATCTTCTTTTCTATTTCTATCCAGATTTCTGTTTCTATCTAGATTTATATTGTTATCTAGATTTCTTCTTCTTCTATATCTTAAGGGCCCATGATCAATTTATTGATCACTTTGGCTCCTATGCATGTAGATGGGATTTGCAATGTTTCTGTTACTGGTGGTGATGAGGAAATTATGCACTAGGGGTTTGAAGGCTTGAGGCAATAGACACAAATGTGTCTAGTGTTGTCGCCTCAACTGTTCCTTTTGAAAGATGGTTCCAGTCCCTGATTGTCTTGGGCAGGAATGAGCAGTTCCTATACTGGCTTCTTGCTGGTATGAGCTTGTTATCTAGATTTATAATTCTATATAAGATTTCTATTTACGTCTAGATTGGGGGAGTCCATTAATTATGTCAAAAAATAGTGTGGGGGTGGAAATGTTTGACAAGGGGGAGGGGGAGCGGGTTTAGATAAGTTGATGTCAACAATCATGTTTTCTCTATTAAAATTTTAATCTTGAAGATTGACCAGTTATTACATTATTTTAAAAATAAATGATTGTAAATAGTCATATAATTTTTAGGCTTTTATTGTCAACAGCACCGACAATGCCCTCTTGAGCATAAGAAATTATCACCTGCTCCTCAAGAAAAAAGGATTTGACCAATGCGAGTAGCTACAAGCAATTATTCCTCACACCGACAATGCTTCTATTTTAAGTGCTGAATGGTTAGATAAGGATGATGTTGACTTGTCTGGTATAGGACTACCAGTTCCGCATGATGAAAATGATAAATCAGCTACTATACATTAGCTACATGTCAGTGTTTTTTCAGGGGGAAGGGGGTGCAAAACCAAAACTTGGTCGGCTTGTTAAGTTCTTTATTACTAAAGGCGCCACAGTACTGAAATTTAAATAAAACCTGCAAATTCCCATAGACAGCGACGAGGCCATGACAGGCAGTTCCGGCTCATACCAGCGAGAAGCCAGTTAGGAACTGCTCATTCCTGCCAAAGACAATCAGGGACTGGAACAATCTTTCAAAGGAACAGTTGAGGCGACAACACTCGACACATCCGAATAGCGGCTAAGCGTACCCGGGTCCCTTTAGCCTTGAGACTATATCCCATTCGAATGTCATTTGTGGTAGTTTATTTTAGTTAAACTGAAGAATTAAGTTTACAAACATATTTTCCATTCAATTATCTTTCATTTGATACCTCCTTTTGTCTTACAAACCCAACAATATATTTTAGATAGTTTTTTTTTTATCGCAACCTCTCACTTCTGATACCCGGGTTCGAATAGTCGCAGCCTTATTTTTAAGTTATATGATTTGGTACATTTGAAGAAATATTAAGAGTGCCTCCCCCTGTTGACAAACATGGCCGATTTTTGTAAACAATTTTTTTTATACCATCACTAAGGTACAATAACGCTGCTAAAATGCCTTTAGGAATTGACAGAACAAAGTTTTATGCCAATAAATCAAGGGAGCTAGAAGTTTCATCACTAGTAGGTGTAAATTTATTATTAAATATTTAGTATTTCATTACTTACTGTCAGTGTCACTTACTGATTTGATAAGTAAAATAAGTATAGAGTAGTCTTAGACTAGAGACAGTATTATTTCAGTATTGTATAAGTTACGTATAATGATTATAATTTATAATCAGTAGTAAATTAGTATGTAATAAATTAAGGAAGGAATTTTTTGATTGATTGATTGATTGATATGATATTTATTTAATTTATATCGAACTGGTATCCATGCCACTTTAGCATGCTAACTGCGCTCTGGTCTTCTGAAATCTATTTAAACAAAAAAGTTTATATTTTTTTCTTAAATGAAGTTTTATCATTTAAAATTCCCCTCAAAGATTGAGGCAAACTCGTCCATAATTTTGGCGCTATCGCTTCAAAAGAGCGCACTCCTTAAGACTTTTTTATGTGTTCATCCACACTAGGAACACTCAGTAAGTATTGTGATGAAGACTGCAGGCTCTTCAAGGGTACATGTTTATAAATCAGTTCCTTGAGATATTCCGGTGCTGAGCCATCTATGCTGCTATACTATTTGACTCAGTATCTCAAGAAGTCAAGAAGACATTAATAAAACGAAATCCATACTTTTTTTAACAGCGAAAAGATGAGCGCATAGCTTCCCTTGAGACAGAAAACGCTATGCTTTACTTGAAACTGGCACAACTGAGGGGTGAAGTTGCTGCAGCAAAAAGAGAAGCATCTGAATCATTTTCTGACCTAGAAAGTGGTGACAGATTTAAAACATATGTTCTCCAGAAGGCTGTTAAACTGCATAAGGATGCACAAGTAGGATACTTTTACTTACTGTTATTGTTATTTTTTAAAATCACAGAAATAGTCAAACTCTAACTAAGAGTGCTTTTTTTCTAGGAGAACTCATGGTAAGGGTATTTCAGAGCCTAATTCACGATGTAACCTTATTTTTAAGCAAATCAGCAGTAAAAACGACAAGTATTATGGAGTTTGTGACACTCAAGAGTGAGGCAACACACATAAAGTGTGGAAGATACAGCACACTGTTACAAGAAACAAAATCCCAATATATTACCTGCATGTTCTTAGTTTATTTTAACTTTGATTGTGAATTTTTTTGTGGTTGTGCTATTGATAATGATGGATATGTCAAATGTATGCATTTTCATTTGAAATCTCTCATCATGTGGTTAAAATATTTTTTTTTGTGTGTGTTCTGTTTGTGGTTTTTGTTTTCTCATTCAGCTCAGCAGTGAGTGGTGGTTTTAGTTTTTAAATATATCATTGCATCTACACAAAAGCCAAGTATTAAAAATACCTTATTTGCTGAACAATAACGACCACTAAGAGAATTTCATACCACTTTTTTTTTTAAATGTTATATTCATGGTGGCGAAGTAGGTTTCTCAGTGTGTAAATTGTTGTAAATTAAAAGGTAAATATGGAGAAGAGGGTGGGCACACAGCTTTCTTAACAATGGATTAATTATAATTATAAGATTGCGTTTTACTTTTATGATACAGTAAAAACCGGTCATGTCGATTGCCTCGGGGTTTGCTAAAAAACGTCGAGATAACCGATGATCAAGATAACCGAAAACCAATATGGCGGCAGTATATTAAAATGTGCTTGAAATTTCTTTATGTACATAATGTGTGTTAATAAATGCCGGAACTTCAGTAAAAAAAAAATAATAATAATTTTTTAAATATTACAGTTATTTAGGGCAAATTTCAAATTTAAAAAATTAAACCAGAATCAACATTTTAACTTTTGTAATTTTTGAGCTACAAATTTTTTAAGTGCGAGTTCTTTTGGTATTTTCTACTATGGACGAAGTCTCCACATTTTGTGACCTCATTCTGCATATCCTGTCGTGTGCAATAACTATAACCCAGGAGAAAATGCTAAGACAAATAGAGAGTTTGGCGGTTCCACTTCAAGAAAGTCGACAGAACAGGGTTGGCGAGTTAATCGAGGTCGACTGTAATAGGAAACAAGGAAACAAGAAGCAACTTCTCATAGGAAAGATTTTTTATCATCCAAAAATGTGTTTAAAAAAACAGGAATATGGAGAGACCTGCAAAAGCGAAAAGAGGCATTATTAACTCACTGACTTGTTTCAATAAAATTTTAATAAGAAACAAATCTTAAAAATGAAACATATTAATTTTAACAATTTTTTACTGTTAGAATTCCCATTCTTTAACTGTTGAAAAGGCAAGTGATCAAATTGTATATCTTTATTTGTTTTTATTTTATGGAAGAGTCACATTTATCATTATTCTATGGGCTAATTAATTAAATAACTTAACCTATAAAACATATTTAGAACCTGAAACAAGAGCTTATGAAAGTGAGGGCATCAGCTGAAGATATACCACGACAGTTTTCCCAGTATTTCCAGAGAGCATGCACTGCTATTCAGCATCATACGGCAGTATTTGAATCTCGATCTTCCAACATTATGGGTACAGATGCTTGTTTTATGTAGTTACTGTTTTATAAGACTTAAATTCTAAAAAGTGCAGTATTACCTGTTCTTTAATTTCAAAGTAAATTAACAGTAAATATGATTTTAACTAGTAGCTTACAATGTAAATATAATTTTATTTCCTTTCTAAAATGACTGGGCCCAAAGTATTGTTTATCCTGATGGAACTTCCAATTAGCCATCATCCCAGGCTTAGTTTTCCCACAATGCATTCCTGCTCTAAATTATAACTTAGCTCTGCAGCATGAAGTAGACATATGAGGCCATCCATTAATGACATCACACAAATTTTTATTACTTTTTACCCACCCCCCTCCCCCCAATCGTCACAAAAACGTTAAACAAACCCCCCGCCCCCCCCCCAATAACCTCAATAAATTCCCTATAAAAATCCCTCTGTCCACCACTGTCCTTAACAACCCCTTTACCCCCCCCCCCCAAGATACTGGATATTGAATTACTACAGCTTTGTCAGAAACATTTCCCTACAACAGCGGTTCTTAAACAGGGATAAAAGGACCCCCTGTGTTGAGGAAGACCCAGAAAATAAATTGCATTTGATGCCATTGCTTGTTGCAATAAATCTTTTTTTCTGGTGAATCTTGATTGTGCATTACTTGTAATTTTTTCAGTGTTTCTAGAAAGTTAATTAAATAAATACAACTATAATAACTAATTTACTTAATTACTTTTATTTTAACAATTTTAATACAATATATTCTGGAAATTTTTAAAAATTGAGATGGGATGCAGCACTGCAAAAGCTTTAAAAATTCCTGCCCTCCCCCGTTAGCCATTTTTCGTTCCATGTCTCTTCACGTGATAGCCCTAATTCTATGACTCTCATCTCCATATTTTGACATAAATTCTCAAGACTGTCAAAGTCACTGCACTGTGATTCTCCTCCTCCATGGCGACCTGTAACTTGATCAGATGCCACTTCTCTGACCTTGCATACCTGTACTGATTCTCTCAGTGATTGAATTTTTAAAAATTAATTAATTATAATTTTTTTTTCAAAGAATAATGTTAAAAATATCTGTAATTTAGTGTTATTAAGTGCAATATTTTCCAGAATGTTCTGCTTTTAATATGACATCACATGGCTAAACACCCCCTCCCCATTGTCACACATCATCACAAAAAATGTGTGACCCCCCTCCCCCTAGATGTATGATGTCATTTATGGATGGCCCCTATAACCTAAATGTTCAATATCAAAAAAATCATCATTTCTCATTGCTTGAAAAGAAAATTGTGTAACATTCTATTTTGCATTGACTTATCAATAGCTTTAGCAGATCAAGTAGCCCAGCTACAGGGAACTCTAACTGATGTTACAGAGAGACATGCAAGGGAAAAGAAGAGAAGACAAGAACTCCATAATCAACTGATGGTTTGTATCACATTTCTAACTTAATAAAACTTGCTAGAAGTTAGAAGAACATTAACAAATAGGTCACTGTTTCAAATTTTTTTCATTAAATCAGACAAAGCACACATCATCTACTCAAATATGATTGTAAACATTATTTTTGCATATAAATGTAAATGATGAGTGAATAAGTATAATCAGATTTATAATATTGATAAGCTCATTATTTTTTAAACATGTTAATTTTCATTTTTATGGAGTTATTTGACTTCTTCCTTACTTTTCCACTTATTTTATTGTGTTATGTGAAGATGCTTAGTCTCTTGCATGATTTATTTTGTATGTAACTTTATCGTAACAAAAGGAACTGAGAGGTAATATCAGAGTCCATGGAAGGTTACGTCCACTCATGGAGTTTGATGCAGAGAATGAGGATATGAACACATTGGGACGGTTGGATATTTATACTCTTATCATCTGTTTGCATTGGGTTAAATTTTTATTTTATTAGTATTAACAGATAATTTTAACAGGAATTCAACTTATATATAATATTAAACTTTTGAAGTTTCAAAACAACAGACATTACATATATTTCCATTATTTTAGATTATAAAGTAATGATTCTCAATTTTTCTTTTCAGGCCTGGAACTAGGTCAGAAGTGGTTGTACATTATGTTGATGATGTAAGTGGCTCTCTTCATTTGTTGAACTTTTTTAAATTTATATTTTTGTGTTTTACAACAGCAACAATATGCTAAGATAAATTTTGCTTGGTTGTGTACTTATTTAAATATCATGATTGTAAAGAATGAATGAAAGTAATTAGACTTGATTTTAAAAAAATTGATATTCATTAATACAAAAAATATGTTAAAGCATGTATTTCCTAACAGTAACAGCTCAAATAACTATGATCACTAAGTTTTGTGTGCTGACTTTTCAATAATCTTTTTCGAAATCTAGGGAAAAGCAACTTCAAAAATGCAACTTCGACAATTTTTTTTTCATTTCACTAAGATTTCACTCATATAACATATAATAATAATAATAAAAAATTTTCAGGAAAATATTTGTGTTCGGACAAGTAAACACAACAAAATATATGAATATGAAAGGTAACTGAGAACCCTAAACTTTTGTTGGTAAATTTAATAATGTAATTCTGAAATATATAAATATTTAAGTTCAACTGCCCTATATACACACAAAATAAAGAAGACAATTTTAGAACATGCTGGTTCTTTAGTACTACCTTTTATATTTCTAAATAGGGTCTACAACTCCACTGAAAAACAAGAATCTGTTTTTGATGAAGTTCAACCAATGCTTACATCTTTATTGGATGGGTAATTTTCCTTGTTTCATTAATAGCATACAAATCAGTGAGTAGATTATGTAATATTTATAATGTAAAATTTTAATTTATGGTAATTTACCTTTGTTGTTAATCTTTAAATTATAATGACATATTATTTATAATTTGATGTGAAATTACTCTTAGATACAATGTCTGCATTATGGCCTATGGACAGACTGGCAGTGGAAAAACTCACACAATGTTGGGAAGTCATCGTAACGACGACTACAACCCAAGTCATGACCCCCAGCCTGATGAAGGAGTTATACCAAGGGCAACTCGAGAACTCTTTAGGTTTGTTTCAAGAACTGTCATAATATTTCAAAATGCTACCCAACACCCATCGGAAATGTAAAATTTATTGAAGCTAAGATCCCAAAACACATGTCACATCAGTGATAACTAATGATGGATGGAAAAACTATTACACAAAAAATTCTTTTTATTCTAGTTGGGAAAGACTCAACTATATTATTTAGATACATGTTAAAATTATATAAAGTGTTTCTGTCTTACTGCCCCTAAGACCCAGATGTCATCTCAATTGTTTTTTATGGACAACATCTATTTTTGTTTTCATTTTATTTCGGTTGCTATGTATATTTTTATAAATTTGGCCATACAAATTGTCTAATAAATTGGCTATTGTAACTTCTGTTTACAGGTTGATAGAAGAGAAGCCATTTGGCACCCATACCATAGAGGTCTCAGTTGTGGAAGTCTACAACAATGATATAAGAGATTTGTTGAGTAGAGACCCTAATGCAAAACATGATGTTGTGACTGGTGGTGATGGACAACTTAGTATACCTACAGTCACTTCAAAGTAATTGTCTTTAAACAAATAAAAAATTGGTTTTGCAAAAATTGTTTTAAGTTAGTCCTAGTAATAATGTAAGAATATTTAAAAATAGTTTTCCAAACCCATATTGAAGGTTGTGATAATAGATTTTTAAGTAGCCTAGATTAATAATTGGATAATATAGAAATCGTTTTTTTTTAAATTAGCTTCCACACTGGCTGGTAAAAATATAAAATGTAAAATAATCTATTAATTCTAGTGGTACCCTCATGTTTGATTAGCTGAACTTATATGCCCTTTATTTCAAACAATTACATTATTTTAATATTCAGTTGTAGTTAAAGCCATTAAAACACTGTTGTAATGTTTGCTGTTACTGCCCCAAATGTCTTAAAATCAAACACTTAAATCCTTTGCTAAACATTAAACATTTTGAGATTATCAATGAACTTTGTGGGTTATCTACAAACTTTAACTGTGACTATAAATTAAATCCCACTGTAATGAAAACTTAACATTTAAATATTTTTTTTTCAATAGACCAGTAGATAATGTGGATGCAGTGATGAATCTGGTACAGTATGGCTTGAAAACCAGAAAAGAGTCAGCCACACTGGTGCATGAACACTCAAGCCGCTCCCATCTCATCGTGACATTGACTGTTAATACTAAGGCACCAAGTTTCTTTGCCAAGACTATGACTACTGATTCCGAAGGTTTGAATAGCTTAGCAACATAATCTTCTCAAAGGTCATCAAATTTTTAGACAGAACGGATTTATTAACAATAACGGCACACTTTTTACTAATTAAATAACCCATTAGTAACTTACAAAAAATAGTTATTTTTCAATAACTATAACATTTTAAAAAATTAATAGTTTAATATGAGCTATAATTATACATTCAAGTTAGCATTACAATATTTTCATGTATATAAGATGCATCTTATACTAACGTTTACATACCCCGCACCCAGTTGTGTCTTATATATGGGTAAATATATGCTCAGTGCGACAGATGCGTCTTATGTAATTTAGTTGACAATTAGTTGACAAAAATCGTCAAAATCCGCATATACGCATGTTTCTCATAATTAGGTGCATTTTATATCCACGAAAATACATTAATGTAGCTAAAACAAAAGACATTACTGAGTAACTCATCAAGTCTCATTTAAGTATTCTCATTGAAGGACTTCGAATTTAGCTATAAGTTCTAACATTTTCATATAAATTAATCCTTTTTTGAAAATGGAGATGAAAATTCAACAACCTAACTTGACCTGCTGCATTTCTAATATAAATAACAACAGCTTGCAGAGAACATCAAAATATTTCATTTTATAAATATTTCATATAATTCCTACCAGCTGGTGCACCTGGAGGTCTTGCTAAAAAAGGCAAATCTCTATCTCAGACATGGACAGCAGAACAACTGCAGCTAGTCAGCGGTGGTCAAACTGCCAACCAGCAGCCAGTCATTAGAACAAAGCTACAACTAGTTGACCTGGCAGGAAGTGAATGTGTTGGTCAGTACAACAATTTCTTTTGAAAAATGGGTTAATAAATATATATNTATATATATATATATATATATATATATATATATATATATATATATATATAATACACACACAAAATTCTTGTGTGGTGAACAAAAAGAAAAACAAAATTAAAGTAAAAAAAATAATAAGTTTTATTAATTTGCAGTTGAAATACTTTGAGCATGTAGAAACATAAACATTTGAACAATTTAATTTACAGGCATGTCTGGAGTTAAGGGCGCTGCACTCCGAGAAGCTTCCAACATTAACAAAAGTTTATCTGCACTTGCCGATGTCCTTGGTGCACTTGCTGAGCACCGAACTCATGTGCCTTATAGAAACAGCAGATTGACACATTTCTTACAGGACTCTATAGGTAAAGATGCTGAAAGCTATTTAAGATAATTTGAGCAAGGCACATTAACTTGATTTACAATTTGTGACATGTAAGTTTGACTTATAAAAAGTGGGTTAATTAAGAATAAACACATGAGGTATATGTTACTAAAGCTTTAAAAATAGTGAATAATTAGTGTTTTAAGTTCATGCAAAAAAAATAATAATATTTCATCTCTTTTTTTGTGACTTGGCTAAATAATACAAATAAATTTTAATTTTCATTTTTTAATTTACATTTGAAGCCTTTAACAATCAGACCAGAAAGTGTTTTCAGGAAACAACAAATCATGATCAGCAGAAGGTTCTGTCTAATTTATGCTAAGTTTAAGTTTTTATTTCCAGGTGGAGATGCCAAGCTTCTCATCCTCCTATGTGTGTCACCTGCACAACGCTACATCACAGAATCACTTCAGTGCCTTGGCTTTGGCCAGAGAGCCAGACAGGTCCAGAGAGGCCCCACCAAAAGGCGGTTACCTTCATCAGCAGAGAAAGTAGCTCCAGAATCTGGTAGTGGCCATTCCAGGCCTAGTTCATCTTCAAGATAAATCCTTTGTTGGATTGGACCAGAAAAAAATAATGTATTACTTTAAGGATGAAGTCAGAAATATTTTTTTATATACAGATAATATATCTGAATGTTCTTAATTCTGTGAAATAATAAAATATATTGTCAAAAGCAGAAGGTTCTGTCTAATTTATGCTAAGTGAAAATTAAAAAATCTTATTAAAGAAAAAGGCCTACATGCTTTTCATAATGTACTTCAGATGTGCTCAGATACTTAAATAGTGAAAATAATTTCAATTTTTTTTTATATTCTTGGAAAGAAAAATGTTAAATAAATCCAGTGATCGTTAGTACCAGATATTCAAATATTATGTTGTTTTTTATATGGTCACCTGGATTTTAAGCGCCATTAAAGTAGTTATAAATAGAAACATCTTTTACCTAGAGATTTATTATTTTAAATTATTGGAAAATAACATTTTAACTGAACACATGAGATGCATGCATGCACAAGAAATAATGCTTCTTTATTTACATTTACTTGTATACAGTAAGCATACAATTACTAGTTTAATGTGCCTTAATTTATTGTCATTTTATTTTAAAGCCAATTTTTCATAAAATAAAAGATGTTACAAGGCATTTTAGTGTATAAGGCTGTTTAATGTTAAAAAAATGTATATGTATTATGTCAGGCCTGAGAAGCTGAGAAGGGAAAAGGGTGGCGTGGGTACCGGACAAAGGCTCAATGAGGCAAATGAGGAGTTGACTTTGGCATTTAATGATGGTTTATTTTAATGCAGGGAAGACATACTCTGGGAACCAAGCCCGTCAAGGATACATCAGGTGATCACTAAGGGACAGTGTGGGAAATTGTGACGATCTGAGGCTGGACTTTGTCAAATTTCTTCCATCGTAAACCCGCCCTAGGAAACCCTTGTAAAATAACACCTTTCCTTCCCCTCAAGATGCCCCGCCGTCGCTCAGCACTTGCTTTGTGTTGATATACCTTTCTAATTGGATGAAATCCGTTTGATGTATATACATTGAGCACCACGAGTGTTTCACGTAGGAAGTTGTAAATATTATTGTGTAATAAATATTTGTAGTTAATTTCACCTTTAACTAAGACTTCGTTTCAGTCTATACTATATGTATATAGATAGGTGTTATGTCTGTGTGGTAATTCGGCTTAAATAACATATCCCTAGACAGAGTGCCAAGAGGAGATCTCATACGAGAGATACTCCTCTCTAATAAGTCATAAGTCGGATCACCACAAATGACTAAGAGCAGTGGTTATTAACCTTTTTGGAGGTACCGAACCCCATCAGTTTCATATGCGCATTCACCGAACCCTTCTTGAAAGGAAAAAAAAAAAAAATTCTGATTTTTTTTTTTACCTCCGCCGAACCCCTGAGACTGCCTCACCGAAACCCTGGGGTTCGATCGATCCCAGGTTAAGAACCACTGACTAAGAGTAATGAGTTTTTTAGTTTGCTGGTAAATGTGGATTGTCCATGGAGACCCTGGGTAGTCTTAGTTTAATTAAGTATCATGATAGAAAAACCCAAACTCGCTAGATGTTAATAGGTGGGTAGAGACATGGAATAGACATCTGGGGTAAATGACTTGGTCAGTAGAATGTAGTATCTAATGATGCAGCAAACCAATAACTTTGGGATCTAAGTGGTGGGTAATTTGTCATTTTGGGAGGGCTAGATATAAGATAAGCTAGAGGTTTGAGGACAATAAAAAGTGGAGAGAGAGATAAGTTAAAACAATATAGTTGACCATTTGAGACAATTCAGATGAGCAGAGTTAAGAACCTAGAAAGCACACATATCAATCACAGAAAGGAGCGGTCCCGTAATGACAATTACTTCGTCAAAATAATTTGGGATAAATCATTAATTAACACCGGTTCTGTGAAATATTACGTAAATAACTAAGAGCTGAATACAATCTTTTCAACTGGACTCAATAATGGATTTTATGTTTTATTCATATATGGCAAAGCAGAACGTTCCAATAGAGAGTAAATTGTTACAAGTAAACCCACAGATGTGGTAATTTAAACCCAAAAATATATCAAAGGGCACTTGGAATCTATCCTGTCTGTTAACTGCATTTCAAAAAAAACTATTTCTGTAGCTAGGTAGAAATATTGCATTGGACATTTAGGCTATAATATTAAAAATCAATAGGGAATGTTATAAATAGAAGTGAGTGCATATTTTTAAAATGATTATTATAACAATATTTTCAAGGGCTGACAAAATTGTATATTGGTTTTGATATGCCTTAAATTGTATATAAATTATGTAGATGTAAAATGATGTAAACAAAAGGGAACAGTAATTTTGAACAATAATAATCTGGCTTAGCAAATGTACTGATACTTAAACTTGTATTTTTCAAAAAAATTCATAGACAACATGCATGTCGTATGACTTGGGTAATGCCATTAAATTTGCGAAATATAAGTTAGGGTGAAGCTCAACAAAGGATAAAACAATAAAGAACAAGTCATCAAGTCATAGAATTGTCTTCACCATCCCTCAAAAAGTGCAATAACCACAGGGAACATTCAGAATGAGCTCAAGACCATTTTATTTTACCATATTTCTTTGTACAATGCTGACAGACTTTCTTTCTTGTTTATACATTTTATTTTATGTTTGTTATTATTGAAAATTTACACGTGATCGATTATCCTTTATTGTAGTTCGGTTAGACCGAGCAGTGAGTGCTCTGTAAATATGCAATTTTCAATTTGGTGTCACCTCCCCAGGATGGTGTCACCCGGTGTGGGCCGCGCTCCCAGTACCTGCTAGCAGCGCCGGCCTTAGGTAAACTTTCGCCCATGTGCGATGCACCCGTACGGCGCCCCCTTCCCTGTCCCTCCGCTCTTTTCCGTTTACGACGTAGGCTATGGAGCACGTGTTATGATGCCGAACATGTAGCTAACCATACGCAAACCAAACATACACATTAATTTAGACTGTTGAATTTTTCTATGCTACTTTTTTCCATTTCAACTTCACTATAATAATAATAAACTAAGGGAATTTGAAAATTTACTGAGCGCCCCAGGCGCCCCTATGGCCACGACGCCCTGTGCGAGGTGACAGGTCGCACACCCTGAATCCCGGCTTTGCCCCTAGCTATGCCACTGCCTGCGACTGATGTTTCCTAAGTCTTTGTTATAAAATGAACGACAGTATCTTCTCTGTCGACGGGTTGTTGTACAACGTCATCTCTATTCCGGGATCCGGCAACTGCCTGTTCCTATCAGTGGGCTATTTCTTGCCATAAACGGTTGACGAAGGCAATGAACTCTCCCTACGAAAAGGCAGTAAACTCCCATGCATATTATAGAAAATGAGAAGTAATCTCTTTTTGGTAACACTTGGACCCACAGTGTAAATACCCGGACCCGGTGTAAAAGCTGCACCCGGTTAAGCCTTTGTAACCATTAGTTTGTTACTGGTTGTATCAATCACCATGTCTTTTTAAGAAAAAAAGTGCATTGAAGTATGTCTATCTATATTAATACATGCCTTGTAGGGGTTAATGGTTTTATGCTGATGAAAAGTGTTAAGGACATATCAAAATCCTTTATTGAATTAGAAGACGCCTCACTACACGCAGGGCTGGAAGTTAACAACGAAAAAACAAAATACATGACTATGATAAGAGAGGAACAAACAGATGAAACCATTAAAATTAGAAGCCAGACTTTTGAAAAACTAAATCAATTCAAATACCTAGGATCTTTATTTAACGAAAGAAATGAATAACTAACAGAAATAAAAGATAGAATAACAGCCTGGAACGGGGCATACTCCAGTAGTCAGAAAATACTCAAAAGTAAAAACGTTACCAGAGAAACAAATAAAACTATATATAAAACTGTAACCAGACCAGTTGTAACAAACTGTAACCAGACCAGTTGTAACAAACTGTAACCAGACCAGTTGTAACAAACTGTAACCAGACCAGTTGTAACAAACTGTAACCAGACCAGTTGTAACAAACTGTAACCAGACCAGTTGTAACAAATACAAGTGAAACTTGTACCCCAAAAAATGGTCAGAAAACCATTAAACACATTGAGGTTGGGGGGGGGGTGTTCTCCGTAAAATATATACGGACCATCAAAGAATGAATAGGGATGAAGAAGACGAACCAACCATGAACTTTACAGTCTATATCAGGATCCCACGCTGGTGGCAGAAATAAAATGGGCAGGCTAAGCTGTGTGGGACACCTAGAAAGAATGTCGAATGTCGGAGGGGTAAAGAGGGTGCACCACCAAAACCCCAGAGGAAAATGGCCCAAAGGCTAACCTAGGCTTCGCTGGATGGATGATGTGAAGGGAGATCTACAGCAGATGGGAATCCGAGCATAGAAAAGAAAATCATTAGTTAGGTCTGAGTGGAGGGATGTGATCCGGTTTTAGATGATGCATCTTCAGTCTGGGACCCATTTACCCAGAAGAGCATTGACAGGTTGGAGGCGGTCCAGCGACGGGCAGCACGCTTTGTCCTGAATCGCTACAGGAATACCTCTAGTGCTGTCAGCATGCTGGAAACACTGGGCTGGTCACCATTGGAGGAACGACGACGACAATCCAGGCTCTCCATAATGTACACGATAAATAATGGGTTGGTCTACTGTTCAAGTATTAAACAGAAACTCGTCCCTCTCCCCATAGACAGCAACGAGGCCATGACAGGCAATTCCGGCTCATACCAGCAAGAAGCCAGTATAGGAACTGCTCATTCCTGCCAAAGACTGGAACAAGCTTTCAAAAGGAACAGTTGAGGCGACAAAAATAGACACATTTGCGTCTATCGCCTCAAGCCGTCCAACCCCCAGTGTATGACTCCCTCACAAGGTAGGACTTGCAATCAGTGAAATATCCTCATCAACACCAGGCACAGAAATTTTTTTTTTTTTTTTACTCTTGTACCGCGCTTCGAGCCTTTGGGGATGAAGCGTGTCCCAGTGTATGACTCCCTCACAAGGTAGGACTTGCAATCAGTGAAATATCCTCATCAACACCAGGCACAGAAATTTTTTTTTTTTTTTTTACTCTTGTACCGCGCTTCGAGCCTTTGGGGATGAAGCGTGTTTTTGAAATACTCTTTATTATTAATACATTGATCGTGGGGCCTTAATATATAGAAGAAGAAGTAGAGTAATACACACAGTGAGCCTAAAGCAGCGTTCAAAAAAAAAAAAGATTAAATTTAAAAAACAATAATAATAAAAAGCTGGCTTGTCAAGGTCTGAATGGCTCTTTACACCACCCCCTCCCCGTCCACTTTTGAACGCCCCACTCCCCCGTCTCTGCGGGCGTCCTTTATGGACGACCCCTAAGTTGATATGGAGCCAAAAATCTGAATTAATGTTATTTTCATTTTTCAATCTCCCTGGAGAGTTAGTGCAAGAAATACGAGCCCTGATGGATACCTTTTTTAAGCCTAAACATATTTTGTTCCACTTTGTATAAAATTGACACGGTTTAAACGCAGTCCCCCGTATATTATGCTAATCAATACAACCTTAGATAACTTTCAACTTCATAATTCAATGCGCTGAATTGCACGCGTACAGCATGCGCACCATTAAAATTTAGACCCAAGGTAAATCCATAAATAACATATCTTATTACATGGGCCTAGCACGCATATTTCCCCAATTTCACCTTGACTACATTGCCATCACTAAATAGCAGCTGTTTAGTAAACAAACTAGTAAGTGACAGATATTTAGGCCTACTTATGATATCCTTATTGGGCCTACTTATTCTGAGAACACGTTCATTCGGAATTAAGGCCTGATCATTGTATTATTTCAATTCATTGGCGTACTGAGTTCAATACACATGGAAAAGCTTTCACAGTTAAATTTTTAAAAAGGTAAATAATCAACTTCTTTCATTATTAAAAGGATTTATTCGTCAAATATACTTTTTATGTCCCGTCCCCCCCCCCCACCCACCCTTTTTTTCCTTTTTTCCCCCAACAATTAGGCTACAAAACAAACTGTTAAACAAATTGTATGAGATCAAAAATGTACACTGAACAACAAGACTCCGTGCAA